TATACCTTGTAAAGTGTGGAAATTAAGACCCTCGGCCTGATGATAAAAGTTCTTCACACGCGCACGCACACGTTTTCCACTTTATCCGAGGGTTTTGATGGAGTTTTGCAGTTTCGCTTTCTTCTTCGCTTAGAAGCAGTTTTCCGGGCAACTTTTCCAGCCCTTTGATTGAATTATCGTTGGCACTTCAGCCACTGCAGCGGGTTTCCCGCCACTTCCTCCGCTCGTCCTGCAATATGCTAATCGCCTTCTAATGGAGTTATACGAACCAGAAATTAGCTGCAACTTCTTCCCGATTCCCTATTTCGTTCGATTCTATATAGTTGGCTATCGTTTACTACTTGGAATTGGGGACTACATGAAAGTTTTAACCCGTTTGGTTGTTTTCGATTTCGGTTGGTCTGTTTCGATTTCGTTTGTTGGTTTGTTTTTATTTTCGTTTCGTTGAAATTAAAGTTGAAAATAATCTTGCAGGCAAACAAATATTTATATGTGTGTATATAGATATATGTTTTTAGTCGACTTTTTACATTTTTCTACACTGAAAAGATAAGAGAAAAATTGCACAGTTGATTACGGCTTTTTAATTTATTGTAATTTATTTAAAATGTAGTTTTGCTTTACGAACGTGACAATTGCTACTTTTGAACTTAATGTAGTGCTAGCAAAATGATTTCCAGTTTCATTACTTTTCTGATGCGTTGGAACTATTATTATTATGACTCTGACATTACACTTTAGAAGCCTTAATAACAGGAATGGATTTTTAGTCCACAACAATATTTAAATAATAGCCATAATGATCATCCAATATAATATTTAAGTTCAAGCGATATTTCTCAATAGAGCCCCCAAAAAATCGACACCAATTGAGCTGCGGAAATGCAAAGATGTCTCCAGGAGGCCATTTACATGCCAGAACAACTTGACACAGAGCCATCTAATCAACTTAACGAACTTTAACTTTTCCTCGCCCGAATTCCCTTGGTTGCTTATTTTCGGGATCAGGGCAAGTAAAAGTCCGCGGTGCCAGGGGATACAAAGTTGAACAACCCTTTTCGCATAATTTTAGATGGATTTCCAGCACTCACACACTCGGGCGACCCTTAATGACTCTCTCGAGCACCCAAAACACATACGCCCCGTGTAACCAAAAAGTGAAATGGCAGCCGAAAAAAGTAGTAGCAAGAAAGGGCCAGACAGTGGCGAACCTTTAATTATAGCCAAGTTAACCCTTCCGTTTTTGTACTTTTCTTCGTGCCGCAACTTCTGGCATACTTTTTGGGGCAATCAAAAATGGACACAACAAAACACACTCGTCCCCATCGACTAATGAAAGCTTGGCTTCGAATTTTGAAGAGGGTATATCTAACTAAAGACAGAATGGAAAAGCGTCGGCCTGCCAAGCTTTTTAATTAGTATTTTTCACAGCTGGAATCTGCAGTTTCGGAAAAAGCCTTGAGCATTGAATAATTAACAAAATATTTACCCAAATTAGTAATTCCACTGAGCACAGCTTGGCTGAGTGTTAAGTTTGGTGTTAAAAACTGAGCTCTTTCAACGCAATATAAAAGTTTCTGCGAAGCCAAACTATAAAGTTTAGATTGACTTTCATTTTATGCGTTTGAAAAAACGCCAAAGGAAATTTTCACAATCAGGAAGTTTAACTTTTTGGTTGCTCATCAGTCACCAGGGAATTAAGCCGTAAAATCTTTTGACAGTTCCCTGGAAGACATAAACTACACTCAGCCCACCAGCTAAGGAAATAAACACAAGAACGAAGGACATAAAATTCTTTAATAGACCGAAAATGAAACTTCTGCTTGGGCTCCACCGATTTAATAAGCATCTAAAAACACAGACTGCGACAGTTGCGCCGAAAACACGCACAAATTCAGAGGCACTTTACTGGTAGAATCGGCGAACATTTGGCTCTAAAGACACGTTAGCCAAATAGTAAATATAAGCCACCAGAGACTCACAGACAAATAGAGAAGGCCAGCGGATATCCGCAGTAAAGAGAGCAGCAGGAAAAGTAAAGTAAATTATGGCCAGCGCGCCAAATGGCCAAATAATTCGGCGTAAATTGCTCGAATGAAAAGCTATGGTGTAAAGGTAAAAGAGCAGCAGGTTAAGTGTGAGGAAGCATTTCTTTAAAAGCATTGTAAAAATTCATTAAAGGGAAGAATTGCTGGGTAGGAAGTTTAAATTGAAGATTAAACCTAAGGGAAGTGCTTCGAAACAAGGAGAAAACTTTACTTAAGCTGTTATACCTTCAAAATGTTAGAGTTTCTCACTTTAGTATCACTTTCAATTTACAATCAGGGAGCAGTAAATTTCTTAAAGACCATGAAGTTATTAGTAAAGGTTTTTGGAAGATGTTGTTTTAGAATATAGCAATATATATACCAATAAAGTAAACTACCAATAAAGACAATTTCAAATTGTATGATGTGCTTGAAAAAAAGTTAAAGTACAGCGAAAATAAGCTTATCTTTGCACTTAAAATCCATAAACATGAATAAAAACCAGAGACGCCAGAAAAACTTAACAGAACACTAAATCCTAACTTCTTCCTGGCCAACTTGGCCCACAGCGAAGCACCAAATAGAGCGACCAAATCACAAACAAACATTAATTTGCATAATTTACTGCGGACACCCAAACAGAAATGTGCCAGAATTTCGCAGCCAGTATTTTTAAGCCATTTCCATTTCTTTACATTCACTTTCTTCTTTGTGCGGGCTTGGGGTTCTTAATGCATAATTTAACAGCAGCCAGAAAAGCCAGAGGCTAGGGACGTTAGGGGCGTGCTCGTCCCGGCAACAAGAGCCCAAGGAAGTTGGGAACAATCAACAACTGCGTGTTGTTATTCAAGGCACACGCACACCACCGACTTTCGCACACACACTCTCGCACACCCTAACCACCAGACGCCACACGGCGTATACGCAACGTGAATCATGGAAGCGGGACAAGACTAACGAGGCTTAGGCTTGAAAAAAATGTACAAAAATCCGAGGAAATTGGGGGCTGGTGGCTGGTGGGTATGGCGTAAAGGTAATGAAGAGCAACAGAGCGGAGCCGTAAAGGAGCAATTTTCCGCACACACAGATTTTCCTTTGCAACTCAAATTTCGAGGGGATTTGGCTTTGTGGGCCTGGGTTTCCTCAACAGTTTTCCACACAATTTTAAGCGGTTGTATGTCACAAGTCATCTAATAGCACACGCGTCATTTGGAAATCATTTTGACATTTATGTATTGTATTTCTTTTCTTGCAACAGTATGTTTTTCTTGTATTTTCTCAAGGGCTGGATTATCTTGAATGCATAAAGGTGTTACAGTACGTTTGAGTACGAGCCAACAACTCGAACAACTATTTACAACTCCGCTTGAGTGTAAGTTTCAAACTCGACTAAAGCGTTGAGCGCATTGCGTTCGTCTTTTAAGCACTTTTCCGCCACTCAACTTGAGCCTCGTCGCCGCCTACACACGAGTCCTCGTCGAGTGAATTTCCCGGACGAGTGGAAAGCCACATGCCTCTCTCTCGCGCTTCCCTTCTGCGGTTCGGTTTTCCCCGCGGCATTCGCTCTTTGCCGTGCTCTCAATGTCACTCGCAGGGCTCGAGCACCTGCTCTGGGCCATATTTCCTTGGTTGCGTTGATGGCTTCTGGCTGGTGGCCAGGAGCGGTTCTCATCTCACCCACTCCGCGGGCTGGGGCCCCGAAAATGCCTTGAAATGGGTACATGAATGTTTCATTCAGGTGGATTATCTAAATGTGGGAAAATTACAACAAATTAGCATAAATATTTGCATCCCTAATATATTAACAATTATTTTTAAAGTCGGTAACATTTTAAGCTAATAACTAAGGATTTTTTCTTATAATCGGAGTATCCATGGTCTAAATAAATAATATTAAATAATATTTATTTCACAGCTGGTAATTCAAAAAACTCCATGACACGTTCGACTTTGTGTATTTTACGTTAGCTTTAGAGCCAAACCTTTAAAAGTTGTGAAAACTAAAAAAATATCACCGCATCGTATAAAACTTTCAGCGTAAAACCTAAATAACTTTCTAAACTTAAGTAATATTTGCTGAAGTAATTCAATCCAGAGACATATATATATCTTTGGGACCTTCAACTCTCCGAGCCCTAATAATCCTTTCCCCACTTAAGACAAGCCAAGCCGAAGCTCATCTACTCGTACTTTAGCCAATAAATGAAGCAACAAATACCAATTAGCGGCAACAGAATCCGCCTGGCCGTACTCTTAGCAGTGAAACAGGGCCAAAACCGATGTAGAAATGGCCAAGCAACAGTGCTACAAATGTAAATACGAACTTTGGAGTGAATGAGAGCCACCAAGAGAGACTAAGAGCTCCGAGTGCCGGCCCGCCCCATTTGGTCTGCCCACGCAACCACCCGTGGAGCCACCCATTTCCCCGTAAGTTGATCCCACGAATGTATCCAATAGTTTCTGGTTCCAACCGGGCGACTTTCCTGGGCGCCCACGCAGACCAGCAGGTGACGCTGATTCGACGACGTCCTCGGCGCGTTGGCGTTGCACTCAATGCGAAAAGCGACAGTAAAAGCTTTTCCGAGGGCGGATAATAAACAAAAATACAGCTTGTTTGTCTGGGACCTTCCACTATGCATTCCTGGTTAAATTACTCAACAGAAGGATGGTTCTCTACAGAAAATAAATGTAGCTTCGGATATTATTATTATACAGACTTTGAATTTTAGCTTAAAACTATAAGAATATGTGACAGATGGCGGGTTTTGAACTTTATTTTGCCTAAAAATGTTGCAAGAGCAAAGCAGACATTTTAACTAATAAGCATTTTGTATTTAGCTTTTAAAATTGCAATGTACATAATATTTGAATAAGCGAATCCATTAATAACTGTTGACCTTTATAATATATTACAATATAGTAAGGTATTATATTATATATGAGAGAAAGCCTGTTTGGGGCAACTTTGCCTGCACTTCACGTCAAGAAAGTTTCCACAAGCACCACCTAAGTGGAGGCGTAGATGTCCACTCAACGGATTCCCTAATCAACCAATCAAGCCAAGACAAACAAACAGAGGAAAATGCACAAGCCAAAGGACAAGTGCAATTTCCTAATCAACAAGAATGCCGCTTCCCGGAAAATTGTTTACGCAACCCAACAGACCAGACACATCACTTAGTGTCCAAGCATCACTCAATTTATCACTTTGTTTGCCAAAGGACACGAGCAGCTGATCCCATGTCATTTTCAAATGGGCTCATCACACGGCGCATTTGTTAGTTTAATAATTTATTCGAGTGGATCTGGTTGAGGACCCGGTATGATTCATATGTGGCGTCGCAGAAAGGACATAACACGCAGCTTGGCCAGATTCATCTCCACGCTGTCCGTCACCTGGATGCTGGCCAAATCCTCGACGTGCGAGTAGCCTGTGGCACGTGGCACAACACTAAGCGGGGTCTTTCAATCATTTGCCAAGGACTCACCCGTCAGGACAATAGCCTGGTCGCCCTTTTGCTGGCCCAGAGCACTCCACGGATCCAGTGCGCCATGCGTGAAGATTACCTGAGCGTAGCGCTCGCTCTGATTGAACCCGCATCCGCCGAATTTGCTATTCGTCTGCTCAACGCCCTGGGCCAATTGATGGGCAGTCTGCTCCGCTCCAAACGCATCCTGGCAAAGTTGTTCGAAGTAGCCCAAGGGCACCTGGTTGGCAAAGGCTTGGGACGCAGATGATTTGGATTTTGTAGTTGTGTACCAGCCAAATTCATTGCAGGTTTGATAAAACCAAGCACGAGCTGGAAAGCAACATTGAATCAAATTATAACTGGCAGCGGTTTTGCTTACTTTCCGAACTTTGATCTAAATCCTCGCTGAAAAGTTCTAGCATGGATGAGTAGCCAAAGTCCTGGCATTCACTGGAGCGCCTTCCTTCCGAATAAAGCAGTTTTAGGAATTCTATGAATGCCAGCTCATCACCGGAATCCAAGCTCATTAAAGTCTCACAAAGCCGGGGTATATAAGCACTTACATGTAATTATTTATAAATATGTTAGTAAAAAGTATATCTCATCACTCACCTATAACTTTGCACCACTAATGCAAAATAGTTTCCCAGACCATTGAAAAAAGCTGCCCTATCTAGAGGATTTTTGGGTCTATAGCCCTCGCAGCCATTAAGATTATAAAGCAGCTCCTGAATTTCATCGCCATCAAATAACTTGACTAGGAATTTTAATCCTTTTTCGATTCGTAAGGAGCAGTTGTGACCGTAGCTCAATCGAATCGACTTGTCGACCATTTCCATGTATTCTAAGGATCAAATATTAGAGATTGTCGCTGTAAGACAACCATCTCACCAAAAAAATCTGCCTTCGCCAATAAGGGAGCACTGGAGGCCCAGCTGGCAGCTATTAAATCCGGATACAGTTGAGTCATCCAGGCCACCAAGCTGCCCGAATAAGAGCCGCCAACCAAAATGACTTTGGAGTCTTCCATTTCGGGAGTATTTGACTGTTGGTGGCGTATGAAGTGCGCCAAGTCAGCCAATGATTGATGAAGACTTAGTTGCTTGAGGTTATTCAGTCGGTAACTCTCATTTCTGTTGATTTAAGTATAAATAATATTGATTTTCTGATATTATTGATTTGATTCTTACTCACCCAAAAGGTAAGCTCAGTCCATAGTAGCGGTGCTCGGTGTAGAAAAGCATTCCTGAGTTTTCCACTGCCATATCGTGGGTTAATCCAGTGCTCAATAATCCTGGACTGATGGTCCATTCGCCTCCCACAAATATGTAAATGGGTCCTTGGGGCTTGAAATACTTGGCATTACTATAATAACGCTGAAACATAACTATGTATTTTCACATTCAAAACAATTTGGCTATTAATGGATACCATTCTCCAAGTTTTGTTGTTGTGCTCATCAAAATGATCCACTTTCTGGTCTAACCAAAGCTCCTCCACAGCAGCCAATTCGTTTTTTGAACGTATTTGTAGTACTGGCTCGTGATTAAGCAACTCCGCATTTCTTCTATAAGGATTGAAAGTGGCCAAAAAACTGGGTAGCCACAAAATAATATGCACAGCACAATTAAACCAACTCATGTTCAATTAACAGTGTTATAACAACAGAAATAAGTAGTGCAAACTTTATATATAAGCGGTATACCCCCATGAAAAAACGGCGTGCATATTTAAATGAAATATGGAATTTACAGAGCAAGGTTAATGCAAATATGGTTGCATGAACTGATAAAACTTTAACACCACTCAACTTATGCAGAATAAAGAGGACTGTAAACTTGCGTTACATTTATGACTTACATTTTTATAAATTCTTATAAATCTTTACCTGTTTTTATTTATGCCCACGTCAGTTTCAGTTACATTCGAAAAGCTTTACAATTTTACTGCTCCTGCTTTTCTAAATCGCCTGGCAAGCTTAGACAACTTTATACGGTTCAAAGCCGCTTCCAGCCACCACCTCGTATACGCAACGTCGCTGCAGAAGGATAAACAAACACACACTCGAATATCACCCACGTGGCGACACAAAAAAAGTTAAAAATACAATATTTTTATAGCGCTGCCGCGGAAAAAAGGAAACATAAAAATGTAAGCAGCTGCGCGAACAAGCAACAGGAGAATGCACAAAATGTGTAATTGCCATATTACTCATACGCCCCATGTACAGGACAATGGCGGTGCAGCACTCCCGCCGTGTCAGCGCTTGTCCTGTGGACTCGAGGCGAAAGGATTGCAGAGGCGAAAGTCGAAAGGGGAAAACTTATGAGCATAACTCTTTTAACGTGCAACGACAAGGGATAAATGGAAAATTCCGTGGTGCATTGATTCTGCATGTTTTTCGTTCTCTGTGAAATGGGGTATAGGTATGAATAAATTGAGCAAGAAGAACGTACACGTCCACTGTTGAATATTACTTGTTCAGCTTTAAATTATTTCGCATTCTTTAATAAGGATTTTAGAACAGGATTTATAAGGATTTATAACATAAATCAGCCGATTAAATTGTTTGAGTGCAATTTACTAAAGTGCACTGCAATAAACGCCTATTGCATATACAAAATATACCAAATATTCCAGGATACCAACCCCATTCACTTGGGTGCTCTTAACAACAATGGCGCGCTATGAAAAGTTATTATTATTGGGGCTCATTGTCGTTGTTTTTATTCTTTGTATTCTTTCTGGCCGGAAAACATTGCAAATTGGTTGAATCCAGCAATGGATGTTGAGCCTCTTACTTATTCAGTTGCTTTTCCCACGCCGCGGTGGAGCGCAAAGGCGGAGAAAAGGATTATTCGCCACGAGAACAATCCACGGAACCGAAAAATCCGAATTTGGCTCGCCAAATCATCAGCATATAAACCACATTTTACATACGTGCACGGCAACATTCCACTTGAGCTCAAAAGCCACAATTCCATTCGCCACCCAAAAGGGTTCTGCTATATGAATATTTATTAAGGAATCCATTTTTGAGATATCTTTGGAAGTCAGGAAAGAAATTTAAATGAGCCAAAGCAGAGAACGATTTTTGTTAAATGCATATTTAATATATTTCCCAATACCCTCGAAAATAATTAGGGCGAAATTTAGGGACGCTAAACACCTTATTAACAAGATCTCCAGATCATTAAACAGGCAATTTTACCCAAAGCCGATTCAGGCTCGTATTTTCCCCTCACAGGAAACTCGTCCTTGTCAACCCTGAAAAGCTTTCGTCTGCGAGCATGCGCTGGGCAAAAGGACTCAAGTCGAGTGGCACTCACAGTGAGCCTTTCTCTCTGGTTGCACTGCTCCGTAACGTCCTTTATGAATGGCCTCCTGTTGCTCGAGACATAACAGGTGGCAAGGCTGGGAGAGATAGCTTTAATGGAGCTGTTGACTGCTCACCCAAACTGGAGCCCCCAAGTGGGGACAAGTTCAACCCCGAGGCAAATCGATGGGGCTGTGGCTTTAGAACCAGTGCCAGCTTTCGGACACCTTGACCAAAGACACTAGAATAATAAGATGCGTAACGCCATACGATTTTTTTGCACACGATTTTTTCGGGCTGGCTCCAGGCTCTCTCGAATTTTTGTTCAAGAGCCAGAGAGAGAGAACGCTCTAGAGCCAGCAGCTCTCTTGTACTCATCAGTGATGCCAAAAAAAACGGAAAAAATAGGCTAAAATTTTCAAAGAAAGGATGAAACAAAAGGACAGATTTTGATTCATACGTTGCCATTGTGCCAATGCGTTTCAAATACGTTTCGGGCATTTTATAGGCTTTATTTAAGACAATTTTTACTATTTGCCCGGTTATTTGTTCAAGACGGATGCCAATTTGATCTTGCAAGTAATCACACTTAAGAACACATACACTACACTCACTGCTCGACCGGTAAGAAAGATTTCTTGAACTATTTTGCGACTCTAAATTAGAAGACATGCCTTACTGTCTTCACCAGAACCAGTTGGGAATTATAGGGCTACAAGAAAATATTTTTCCTAAACAAAAATTTATATTATTTGTACTCTGGCAATCGAGTACGAAGTACTCGTTAGTTAAACTCAGCATTCTATCTCAAATATGAAAAATTAGTGACGACTAAAAATAAATATATATGTACATGTTACATATATATGTATATATATATAGAGAGAGGAAGAGAGCAATTACTGCCGCCACCAAATAAGTGGCTGCATAGTGCAAAACCAATGTATGGCCGTTACGCATCTTATTATTCTAGTGTCTTTGCCTTGACACTCTGACACACTAAAAAAGCGGTGGCGAATTTAAATTACTGCAAACACACGAGGACCTCGTCTGGCGCAGGAATGTTGCCTTGAAGGTTGCTTCCTTGTAAAGTGTGCGATGTGTATTAGCTCCTAGGAACACCAAGTCGCGTTGTCCCCTCTTAGCCTTTAAATTATAAAGTGACGCTGTCTTTCAGAGAAGGATATCATTTAAGGGGGGCAAGTAACACATTAAAGCCCAATTTAGTGTGTAAATGAAATAATACTTTGCTGACAGTTGGCTTGATAAGTTGACTTGAGTAAGGGAATCCACTATAAAGTTATGCCTTTCCCATGGGAACTCGGTATCCGTCAAACTTCGTCCACTTTTCGAATTCAGAATCCTAATTTAATAAGAGCGGGAGGAGCAGTGCGGCTGCTTCTCCTCGGTGACTGCTTAATTAGCCGCGGGTGGCTGTTTTCCAGTTGGCCAGAGCACTTTAATTGAGCGGGGAGTGTGGATGGGTGGCAAAGTGAAGATTAAGGCTATATCTGCATTACACAACTTCCAGGAATTCCTAGGATATTGCAAATAATTATTGCATATTGAGATTCATAGACAATTTGAGTGCTACTTTTAAAATACATTTATAGGTTTGTTTATGGACCTTCTTTTTGATTCACAGCATTTTGTCAGGTTAAAAGTTTTTAAAATCTCTAAAAATGTATTTTCACATGATAAATTATTCTAGGACTTGCACGCTGGCTTGATATCGTTTGTAGGTGGTGGAACAAGACATTCTTGATTCTGTGGAATCCCAGCTGATTTCTTATTTTTTTCTCTTCCCCTTCTCTTATTTTTATACCCGTTTTCTTGATTAGGATTTTGATGATTTATAAAATTGTTGTTATCGGCAAAAACTTGATTAACTTTTAAACTTGGTAGTGGCTGCGGAAAATTACGTTTTGACTGTTTTGCTTTTTGATTCTGGACAACCGGTTCATTGGTATTTTGGCGAATATCTTGCTGCTGAGACTTGTAGCTTTGTTGTTGAGCTTTCTGTGAGTTCGAACTACTCTGTTGATTGGAATCCTGATTGGGCCGTTGAGTATTGAAAATCTGCTGGATGGGCTCCTGTGTAACCTGTTGGTTCTTGTGTTGATCCGATTTCGGTACTCGTCTTGGGATCACTCCATTTTGTTGCCCGCTGCATACAGTTCCCTCCTGAGCAAAAGTTTTCTTTGTATAATGATGGACATCTATGGGAGGATGTGGTCGGAAACCTTTGTATCCCGGGTGCCTAGTGTAACTCTGTATTTGGGAATGTGAAAAGTGATGACCATTCCCAAGAGCCCTGGGTCCTTGACGCGACCTATGGTCCAACTGATTGAGTTGAGGCGGAGTCATCGATTGGATGACTTTCGGCGGAGGGTTTCGGAAAGACATTTTACTTATTCCATCTATTATGTGCATCTGCTCACGCTCCTGTTCCATACTATGCCAGTGGTAAAACAAGTGGGCCTTTAAGTCCAAAAGCGAATCTGGGGCGAACTTGCATTGGTTGCAAATCAGAGGCTGCGCTAGCAGCTCATCTACTAGCGATTTTGGCAGTCGTGAAAAGCAGTTCTCCCTCTCCAGCTGAGCGCACATTTCTAGAAGGTAGCAGATTTAAACATTTAAAGAACTTCTGAATAAATATAGGAAATCATATCACAAATTCGATAAAAATCTGCTGGTTTTCGTAGTTTTCTTACTTTCGTAGGAAACGAATAGTTCGGTGTTGTGCGCGTTCCAATGTTTCTTGGTCTTCATACACGGTGATACGAAATCCTTGGAGATAACATGCAAGTGGAGCCTTTGCATACTCGGTTCGGCATGGAATCCCACCTGGAAGTCCTCCCAAATAGCTCCTCTTATTTTGACAGCCTTTTGCGCCAGATGGTAAAGCTCCCTCAAAAGCGGCAGATGGGTCCGGTTAAGCTGAAAGATGTAAATTAATTTAATAGCCTTAGCGTAGTTTTTGCTGGCACTAGCACTTACTTGAAAAACACTAGGAATGTCTTCAATTGGAAGAACCAGATAGTGGTGCTTTGCCTTGGGAAACTTGTCTGGCATGACTACACCGAATTCCGACGAGGTAATCAGATACTCGGTCCTCGTCATGTCTCTGATTAGTCCGTATTGCCAGGACATGTCGAATTCCAATGATTCGCTTAGCTTAAGTTAAAGTAAGTCATTTTATAATATGTACTGACAACAATAACTGAAACAGCTGTCATCTAGGTGTTGGAAAACGACAAGTACGCTCCTGAAGGTGACACTTCCGATATCCGATATTTTTCGCTTCCGATAGTTCTTCTGAGCACTTAAATCGCGTGCTAATAATTTTTACAATTTTTGTATCTTATATTTTCACGCTAATTTACAGACTCTCTGGCATTCAAGTAAAACAATTTGAGTCAGGGCCCGATAATATGTATAGTCAGCTTATACAGTTATGATATTTTCGGGGTTTCAATACTAATTTATTTCATCAGACATATGAATAGATTAAAAAAATAGCATTATAGTTTGGCAATGTTATGTGTATAATATGCATATTTGTAAATTAGTAAATTATCAAATTATTGTAAATTATCAAATTTAATAAGTTTTTCATTCCATTTTCGTTTCTAAGCAATTAGAAATAGTAAACCTTGGGTTGGGTGAAATGATTTTGGATGATTAGTATTACTCATGAAGCCATGCTTCCCTTTAAAATGACAATTTGGATCTAAAGTCTTTCTGATAGTAGTTTCGTATAAGGAAATGTTTCAATAGGATACATGATCCTAAGCTGGCTTAGAATTAATCGTCGATATTGTGGCGTTCCAGGAAGTTATTTAGGTAGCTGCTTGTCCTGGGATTTATGTTTCTGATTTGGATGCTGAGAACCGGAACCATATCTTCGATTCGTTTTCGGCCTAGCTCCCTGTTGCTGACCTGGCGGCTCAGCCTGACCGCCGACCATTGGATTAGGCTGATGGGGCGCGTTGTATCCCGGAAGTCTGAATCTGTTCTGGTGGTGACTAGGCGGAAAGCGCGGCCCACTGTGAGGAGCCATTGGTCGTTGAAAAGGCCTAGGTCCACGAGACCTAAAGCCGGGCTGCATGGGTCGCGGCGGATTCAGTGCTTGTGCTTTAATATTAAAGGGCGGAGTGTTCCGGAATGGATTGTTGGGATTGTTCTGATTCATTATGTTGACAGGAGGTCCGTACACGAGGTTGTCGTAGCCATGCTGGGCCTGCTGCTTGCCCTGCTGCTGATGTGGCGTTAAGGGTTTTCTCTGAGTTGGATTGCGTTTCGGGGCAATATCAGCAACTGGCTGAGTTTGAGCAGGCTCTTCAGACAGCTGCTTCGGTTTGGCCGCCTCATCCAGCATGGGCTCATTCAGCATTTGTATTATTTTATCCATTTTCTTCTTCTGTTCACGCTCGCCTTCCTTATGCAACCAGTGGTGATACAGGTGAGCCTTCAAATCCAGCAGCAGATCGGTAGAAAAATCGCACTGGTTGCATCGTAATGGCATCTGATGCTCCAACTCTTTGAGCCTCTCTTCCGGAATGGGTTCAATGGATCCCTGCACACTGAGCAGCATGTGTGCCATTTGAAGGGGCAGAAATAGTTCCGTATTGAAACTATTCCAGTGCTGCGGACGTTTCATGGCCATTGAGTAGAAGTCGTCAGAAATAACATGTAGATTTAGACGATTCCAGAAGGTGTGCACTTTGAAACCTATGCGAAAGTTACGCGACTCCAGGTGGTCCTGCTTCTCGATGACTTGATTGGCCAGATCCATCATGTGATCCAGCAAGGGCAGCTGCTCTTCGGTCAACTGGATTAGGGAAGGAGAATGAATGGTGAATAGTGTTTTCATATTTCTGCCACAGACCCACCTGAGTTATATCCCTGAGCTCATCCTTGGCCACCACCCGAAAGTGGTATTGCGATTTGGGAAAATCTGCTTTAATGACCACCGCCCGATCACTCTCGATAAGAAAGTTCCTGCTATCACTTAGCTTGCGCTTCAGCTCATCTCGGATATATGCCAGTTCCATTTTGGTAGCTAGATTCGATTAGGTATTCGTATTCGTAGAAATCCCCGAAATCAAATGAATTTAGGTTGTGATTGTCTGAAATTAGCACGGCTGACTTCTCGGCTCTCTGTGGGGTGGAACTGGTTCCCTAGTCGTCACTGGTGGTTCATTGCGAATGGGATTTGGATCGAGTAGGTGCCCCACCAGATGCTCCTTGAGTGTTGGCAAATTTTTCGCCACAAATTCGCACTGATTACAAATAAGTGGCTTGGCCAGCAGCTCGTCTTTCAGTGATTTCGGAAGCCTCGCAATGGTATTCTCCTTCTCTAGCTGGGCGTACAGTTCTAAAAAGTATATAATTAAATTGATGTGCATACATACATAGCTAAGCAAAGGGAAGTATGGAATGGAATACATATTCAGAGAATGTTCCAGATAAAGTTGAGCGGCTTACACATGTGCACATATCTGGGGCGTTTGGGAATTAATGTACGTGTGTATGCCGTTTGCAAAACAATATTCTTATTGAAAAACGAGTATGCTCTAAGAAGGAACCGCCTGTATAAATCTATTTGCTACACATGTACTAGAGCATTCGATTTATTTTAGCTAATGGTTCTGGTGCCACCTAAGAAGCCAGTTCCAATCGCCTTACGTGTGTAGGGCACAAACAGCTCGGTGTTGAATGAGTTCCAATGCTTTTTGGTCTTCAGACTTGGTGATACGAAGTCCCTGGAAATGACGTGCAAATGGAGCCTTTGCATACTCGGCTCCGCGTGAAACCCCACGCTAAAGTCCTGCCAGTGCACTCCCTTCACCTCCACAACGTTCCTGGCCAGCAGATGAAGCTCCTCTAAGAGCGGCAGATGGCTGCGGTTCAACTAGACGGAGTTGTATGTACTTAGGTATTTGGAGATTGCGAACCGCTCAAGGCGAAACTATGCTCACGTGAAAGATGCTGGGAATATCCGCCAGGGGCAGCACCAGGTAGTGATGCCTTGCCTTGGGAAACTTGTCTGCAATAACCACTGCGATTTCCGATGAAATTATCAAACTCTCTGGTTTTAGGATTTCCTTGACTAGTCCATTTGACCATGACATAGGGAGTGCTAGAACAAATGCTTTGCATAAAATTATTTGCTTCCCGAGTTCAATTTTTTTACGTAGGTTTGATTTAGTTATCTTTTTCAATAGAAAATGTATGTTATTTAATTGTCAAATAAAAACAAAAGCAACTAGTGTTGGAAAACCTCTCGAGCTGACACTCGCGATATTTTGCCACTTATATTTATATATTTATATTTTGCAAATTAGGGCGTATGCATTCATTTTAATTTGCCCAATATTGTCAGCATTTTATAGAATGATATACTCCAATTAGAACAACTTTGTTATTTGTTATATATATCTTGTATCTACGTCCACTGTGCGAATGGCGATAGTTTCCGATATGAAGGTGGTATTTTTTCGCCGATCCCGCTGCGGTCATACTGTTGTTTACCTCTTTGCATGCCGACTAAATAAGGAAATTGCGTGATAATTGTGTTCGAAAGCTGACTAAAATCGCTGCTGCCATGGAGGCCAAGCCCGTGCTGGCGCCCCAGCCACGCCCCCGTACCATGGCGGAGCCGCTGCACATCCAGCGCCTGGAGGCGGCGCTCAACATGCGACCCTTTATGAACATGGCCAAAAGAACCTTGCGGAAGCCACTGAGCAGCAACGACGAAACTGACGACGAGCATGTGGTGAAGAGGGAACAGGATGCACAGGACTCCGACGACTCCTCCACCGTGGGCGTGGTCCGTATGAAGCAGTCCAGTAAGCGGAAGAGTCGCCTGTTGGCCAGCAAGGAAGGTGAGTAGGTATCTAAAGTAGCCCAGTACACCTCCTAAAGTTACCCTTAACAGAGCGACAAAGTGTCAAGGCACAACTCTACAACTTCAATGATCTGACCAGCGATCGGGAGTGGCTATACGATCTCCTCCTGAGCGACACGGAAAGCGATGATCCCACTATCACTGAAGATGAGTATGTGCAGCAGCTGCTGAGGGAGCACGTGCGAGAACAGCGCCAGCGGAAGAACTACTACAAAAAGGCCACGGTGAGTGATGTAGATGTGTCATGTAGGCTTGCTTTGCAGTTAATTTATAATAAGATGTGTATTCGCAAACAGAATGCTCGCGATGAATGAATATGAATCGAAAGCAATCGGAAAAAAATATTTAAACCATTTTTAATCGCTTCCAGAACGCCCAGTATGCATATTATGGCAGCGGCTTGCTGTCCAACCACGACATCTTTGCCGAGCGTCAGCTGGCAACTGCAGGAGTGCGCAAACGGCGTCGTCGCACCAAACAGGAAATACTTATGGCCCGGTTGGCTGAGGCCCAAGCTGGACCCAAGCCGCCCAAGCAGAGGAGGAGAGGCCGCAAGAAGCGAGAAAACCTGGGATCACCAGAATCCGGTGAAGTGCCTCCGTCAGAGCTTGGTAAATATACATTTGGTGACACGCTGCCCAACAACGAAGACGAAGACGAAGATGGTGGCGAGGTCGACTACAAAAGAGAACTGGCCAGCTTGGCGTTGGATTACCCAGAGGAGGAAGAGATCGAAGAAGAGGTAGATGTGGAGGGCGGCACCGAAGGCCAAGTGACTAAAGTTCGGCGAAAGCGAAAGAACCCAGCAGCCTTGGCCGCTCGTCGTCGGCGCATCTGGCAGATCATGTCTAAAAAAGAATCCGGCAGACTGCAACGCATCAAGAGTAATAATCACAAGGAGATGCTGGCCAACTGTAAAAGGGTGGCTGGCATGTGCGCCAAAGTGGTGCGACAGCGTGCTATCAATTCCCAAAGGATCATGAAGGAAACAGTGTGGCGTGCCAAGCGACTTACCAGGGAAATGCTTGCTTATTGGAAGCGGTACGAGCGCGTGGAGCGGGATCAGCGGCGCAAGCAAGAGCGAGAGGCAGAGGAACAGAGAAAACAGGACGTAGAACTTATCGAGGTGAAACGCCAGCAGCGTAAGCTCAACTTCCTGATCACCCAAACCGAGCTCTATGCCCACTTCATGTCTAAAAAACTGGGCCAGGGCAGCGAAGAGGATCAGCTGCGCATTCTTAGCCAATTGGATGAGGAGACCAATGCCAGGTTGGCAGCTCAAGATGACTATGACGCAGGAGAGATGAAAATGCTGGCTCAGGAGAATGCCGAGGCAGCCATGCAAAGAGATCTGGACAAAACCAGGGCATTTGATGTCTTTGTAAAAAAGAAGGAGAAAGAGGAAGAGGAACAAGGGCTGGAAAGCGGCGCGGATATAAAACCAGAACCCCGTCCCGAGATGAAGGACCTACCCCAACCGAAAATGTTTAAGGGCACTCTCAAGGGCTACCAAATCAAGGGCATGACCTGGCTAGCAAATATCTACGATCAGGGAATCAGTGGCATCCTGGCAGATGAAATGGGTTTGGGAAAGACTGTCCAATCGATAGCTTTTCTTTGCCACATAGCCGAGCACTACGGAGTGTGGGGTCCCTTTCTAATAATCTCACCCGCATCTACCCTTCATAATTGGCAACAAGAGATGTCCAGATTTGTGCCCGACTTTAAGGTGGTACCATATTGGGGTTCACCTGGCGAACGAAAGATTCTGCGCCAGTTTTGGGACCAGAAGCATTTACACACTCGCGATGCCAGCTTTCATGTGGTAATTACTTCTTACCAGCTGGTGGTCAGCGATTACAAGTATTTCAACCGGATCAAGTGGCAGTACATGGTTTTAGACGAGGCACAGGCCATTAAAAGCGCCGCCTCGCAGCGTTGGAAGCTATTACTGGGCTTCAGCTGTCGGAATCGATTGCTTCTCAGTGGCACTCCCATCCAGAATAGCATGGCAGAGCTATGGGCACTGCTGCACTTTATCATGCCCACGTTGTTTGATTCCCATGATGAGTTCAACGAGTGGTTCTCCAAGGATATTGAATCGCACGCGGAGAACAAAACTGGTATTGATGAGAAACAAATTTCCAGACTCCACATGATCCTGAAACCCTTTATGTTGAGGCGCATAAAGAAGGATGTGGAGAACGAGCTGTCAGACAAAATTGAGATCATGGTCTATTGTCCGCTGACCATTCGTCAAAAGTTGCTATACAGGGCGCTGAAGCAGAAGATTCGCATTGAAGATCTCCTTCATCTGACCAGTGGATCCACTACTACTTCATCCTCCTCTTCTGCATCAAATCTTATGAATCTGGTCATGCAATTCCGCAAGGTATGTAATCATCCTGAGCTTTTTGAGAGAAGGGACGCAAAAAGTCCGTTCTTTATGCGCTGTGCGGAATATACTATTCCCAGATTGGTTCACGAGGAAGGACTTATACACAGAATGCTGCCAAGTCGAAAGCACTTGCTCTATAACCGGTAAGTAGACAGGTTTTGAACGTCGTATCATATTTAATTTGTATTCCTTGAATGGTCATCTGCAGGTTCAATATCTTTAAATCCGAATACATGCAACGGTCTCTTTTTGAGGATGTGAGCGTGAATAGTTGCTTTGGATTTACCCGTCTCTGTGATTTATCCGTGGGAGATATGGTAGAAGTAACCCTGAATGGACTGATCGATTTGTGAGTATTTATGTACCCCTTACTTGTAGAGTAAAAGCAAAGACACTAGAATAATAGGATGCGTAACGGCCATACATTGATTTTGCAATTATTATTAATTATTATTAATTATCTGTAATATATGTATTTTTTGGTACCCAGGGAACACCACGGGGAGGACATTACAAATGTAATGTGGTCGTATATTTATATGACCTTCGAGTCGACTTGAAATAATAAATGTTAAATATAAAATATTTCCATGTTTATGTATGTATGTATGTATGTATGTATGTATGTATGTATGTATGTATGTATGTGTGTATGTATGTATGTATGTATGTAGTGTATGTGTTACTTGCACAAAGTAGTAAAAATTGTCTTAATTAAAGCCTGAAGAATGTTTAACTTACTGTCGGAACACATAGTTATTGCCGCTTTGAATATTTGCTGAGGAAAAATATTTTCTTGTAGTCCTATAATTCCCAACTGGTTCTAGCGAGGACTGTAAGGCATGTCTTCTAATTTCAAGAAATCTTTCTTACCGGTGGAGCAGTGAGTGTAGTGTATGTGTAGTGTATGTACCGGTGTATATATGTATGTATGTATGTATGTATGTATGTATGTATGTATGTATGTATGTATGTATGTATGTATGTATGTATGTATGTATGTATGTATGTATGTATGTATGTATGTATGTATGTATGTATGTATGTATATATGTATGTATGTATGTATGTATGTATGTATGTATGCATATATGTATGTATGTATGTATGTATGTGTTACTTGCACAAAGTAATAAAAATTGTCTTACTTAAAGCCTGAAGAATGTTTACCTTACTGTCGGAACACAAAATTATTGCCGCTTTTAATATTTCTTTAGGAAACATATTTTCTTGTAGCCCCAACTTCCCAACTAGTTCTAGTGAAGACTGTAAGGCATGTCTTCTAATTTAGAGTCGCAAAATAGTTCAACTAATCTCGCTTACCGGTCAAGATCAAATTGGCATCCCTCTTGAACAAATAACCGGGCAAATGTTATTCATACAAGTGTTTGAAATGTTATAATATTTATTTTGAAATATTTATTCATAAAAAATATTTAACATACAATATAAAATTATTGTAAAGAAATTGATTACCCTACACTGAAAGGGATATATATTTTTATGTTTATTCGTATGCAAAGTGCTACTAAATTAATCTCGAGCTGTAAGTAATTAAATAAACTATTATTTTGTCATAATTATATTAGTGAGTGAAATAGTGAGATCTTTAAAGTGAGTAGTAAAAATTGTTTTAAATAAAGCCTATAAAATGCTCGATACGTATTTGAAACGCATTGGCACAATGGCAACGTATGAATCAAACGTATGAATCAAAATCTGTCCTGTTTTTGCATCCTTTTTTGAAATTTTCAGCCGTGTGCATCATGTGCAAAAAAATCGTATGGCTTTACGCATCTTATTATTCTAGAGTCTTTGGTAAAAGTAAAGTACATATACTCTTGATAAGGATAACTAGTCGAGATCTCGGGAACTGTAAAAGTATGTTAACATGAAGCCTGCATATTTTAAATTAGGTAAAGGGTATATGATAGCAGAGAAACTCGAATATGGAATATAGTGTTCTTTTCTTTGATATAATCATATGCTTACATGTTCACCATGCCTCTATTTCGACAGTCTTTTGCATTACCAAAGAGTTCTGGAGAAATACCCACTGCTGGCCTACCGTCGCTTTTGGTGGAAAAAGCAGCCGGACAGTAGATATCAACTGTTGGAGCCGATGCTGGAAAACAAACTAGTTCTCGACTATATGCCACCAAACAGTGTCCTTAAGAACTTCATATTCACAGCAATGGTAAAATCAGTAATACATTTTTTAGTCAAACAATTAATAGAAAGCTTTTATTTTAAAGACCGCCAACGAAAGCAGCACCTACGCATTTGGCGATTACTTTACGTACAACATGCAGGAGACTATCGAACACCGTGTAATTCGGTCGAAGATTCTCAAGGAAAAAACGTCGTTAATCGAGGAGATGGCGGACGTGTCCAAGCCCAAGCTGGAAATCGAGTCTGTGGAGGTACAAACAAAGTCAAATGCCAAAAGCGATGTGAAGGTGACAACGCTGCTGCTGCTACCAGAGTTTCCGCATCGCCCACGAAAACCTAGGAAATACCTATGCGAACCGCTTTCCATGCCACGACTACTTTATGATTTGGGACAGAAAGTTCAAGCTGTGCATAGATATTTATAGTGAGTTTAAAATGACTTCTTCAATTGGATCGGTTATTTACTTTCGCCCCTATATTTCTTTTGTAGTTGCGAGAGTCGGTCTGCAGCCTGGACTCAGATTCGCCACAATCAGTGTGAGAACAGTCAGGGCAGGGAGCTCGTCTCTAGTGGATTGGCCTTGTGCAAGCCTCATGGTGGATGGTCCTCAATTGTGGTGCCCGACAAGGAAACCCTGATTACGGACGCCGGCAAGCTTTTTGTTCTGGACACCTTGCTTACTCGATTGAAGGCGAATGGACATCGAGTGCTCATATATTCGCAGATGACCAAGATGATTGACCTGCTGGAGGTAAGTTTAATAAACTTCAAGCGCTTATTGTCCAGTTTAATTCTTTCATATTTTGCCTAGGAGTACATGTGGCACCGCAAACATCGCTATATGCGCCTCGATGGTTCAAGCAAGATTTCCGCTCGTCGCGATATGGTTGCCGATTTTCAAACGAGAGCGGATATCTTTGTGTTCTTATTGTCTACGAGAGCCGGAGGCCTGGGAATTAATTTAACAGCCGCTGATACGGTGAGTTCATATTATACTTACTTATTTACTTAAATGTATGTGCCCAATAATAGCAAATATTTGTGACCGTGCTATTTAAAAAGGTTTATCTTGTCGATAAAACAAATACGTTTTCTTTGTGAATAGGTAATGGTGCCTTTTGAAAACTTTTCACTTATACACTCTTTAGAATTTCGATTGAATTAGCCAAATCGTATTCATTCCAAACAATAATTTTAAGTAGTCAAAATTTAAAGTTCCTTCCAAATGCATCCTTCCAAATGCATCACCATGTCCGAGACGAAGACGACGAAACTTCCTCAGCTCAAGTCCAGCGTTACTCCTTACAGACCAAAGCCGAGCCTAATACATAGTAACTCCCCAAAATTAGAGAACGACAAGCGCAATGGCTTGGACTTGGAGCTGGGGGATAATCCGGAGACACCGAGCCTAAAGCGTGTACGATGGGCTCCGATGTATGGAGAAAGGAGCGCGTGTAGGTCCTCCTTTGACAGCTTTCCACTAGAGTCCAAAAATACTCAGTTTGACCAGGCCTCGTCAGAAGAGTTAATACTGGCCAACGAGCTTCGCTTGGCGGTGCATCGTGGGGGAGGTTCCATCGATCCCGAGAAGAATTGCGAGCTGAGGGCTCGACTGTCTCCCTTGCAGTTGCCATACAGTCGAGTTCAGCGGATTCTGAAGGAGTGCGAGTTGAGCGAGAGGAATCAACACACCTATTGCATACCCATGGACTATGGGCGGCAACTGGTTGCCATGATTTGCAAGATCAGGACGGAAAATCTACCCGACGTGAAGCTGCGCTTGGCCTCCCTACTTCGGCAAAACAAAGCGCGCTTCTTCAATAGACATTTGTTCAACGAAACTGGCTTGATTGAGGCCACATTGCCGAGCAAAACCCCTTTGAGTTTCGACGAATTTAATCAAACGTTGCGAACTGATGCCTTGTGGTGCAAAGCCACCGATAGCGCCATTACAGATTTGGGTAAAGGATCTGTTTTGTTCAAATGCCGACCTCTGGACCTCCAAGAGGTCACGTACAAACTGAGGCAGTGCAACTATAAGATTATAAACAAGGAGGTGGGACACTGTCCAAACAAGCCGCTCGTGGACTTAAATGATCGACAAATGGCCCGCTACCAGGAGTTTCGTAAAACCCTTCTTCAAGATATAGACGTCGTGAAGATCTATGACAATGTGCGTGTCCAGTAATTCAAATCAGTTCGGCGAAAGTCCCAAGTAATTTCCAATTATCAAAGTGAACTTAGTTTTTTCAAATTAGATCCATGCGGTTATTCCATAATAAAAAATCCTTCGTCATAATATCATTTATTCATTAATATAGGTAAAAGTATGGTTTCTCTTTCTTTTTGAAAGTGTATTTTGATCAGTAATGTTTTCAATTACGCAAAATAACCACTATCATGAAAGTTTTCGCAAGACTTATAGAGTGCGAATTTATAATTTATAATTGGGTGTGCTTTGAGTAACGACAAATATATACAAACGTTCACACATGGAAAGTCTAATTCATTTTATATAGCCACTTTGACTTCTTCAAAACTAGTTGTAATGCATTTTTCCTCATGCAGATTGAGCTCTTAGTTCTTTATAGTACAGTAATTGTGCGCCTTTCACCTGAAGATTTATAGACAGCTTTAGGACAATAGTTTACACGTCAGTATAGAGAGAAATTCCTTTGCCATTGTCCCATCTCGAAGGCGGAAAAACCCTGTGTGGCTCTTGTATTCATTTGCTAAACTACTTGTTCATGCACTGCGGCAATCGAGGTTGAATCTTGAGCAAGGGGTGGTGACGGGTTGGGTTGTGGATGGGTATGGGGATGAGCTGGGAGTGAGTGGCGGCAGACCATGATTTACTCGTGTGATCTTTATCGCCGCGCAACAATGAGATCCACCAATTCGAGTCCAGCGACCACGTAGAAGAATTCTCAGCCGAAAAGGATACAATATCGAACAGAATCTCGCCATGTTTCTCCCCCAGCATTTCTTGTTCGATTTCAGTGGTGCTGGCCCGGAGTTCGTGTGATTCGTGTGAACATTTTCGCGTGGTTCCTAAATCATTTTGTCACCGGTTTTGATTTGTTATTTGCGCACCCTGGCCAAGAGTAATTTGGTTTCGGCTCCTACTCTTCTGTCACTTTATAGCCAGGTTCTCAGGCTCAGTTCTTTTGCCTGATCGGCCTCCCCACCTCACTTGCTCAGGTTTATGCTGTGTGCTGACTAATTCGATGTTGGTATTTTAGCTGGCTGATTGTTCGCCATCAACGGATCTGCGAGCCTTGAGATCTTCAAAGGCCTTTTATGCACGGTCGTGGGATGGGCAGTTTCTTCACGATGACTCAGAATCATCCTTCATGAAAATGTCCCGATTTATAACAATTTATTATAATTATTTAGTGGCCAAGCTTACGGATACTTTTATGTGTTTATAGACACATCAACAAGCTTAGCTTGATAGTATAATACCAAACCAACAAACTAAATGGAGAAATTTTACAACTTCCTGTAAGGCTAAAAAAGCACATATTTCAATCATCAGCCAATTTCCACAAGCCTTTGAATTATGCCAAGAATTTTCATTTATTTTTCGATATAATTTCTCAAACACCATTGGAAAGGTTTTTGCCTCTTACTCGTCTCCTTTCCTTTGAGGCCTTTCAACAAGAACAAAGGTATTTCCCGTTCATGTATTTGCCGCATACCGGAATAATTTGACCAAAAACTTAAAATTTTGGTATGTCTTCGGCCTTTCGCTTGCCCTCCTTCCCAATATTCTACCAAACCACAAATGCCTTAATGAATCTCAAAGAGGAAATAAGAACTGTACCTGTTACATTTTAAATGAAACGAGAGCTACGATTTAATGGTATTTTTTGCTATTTATAAGCAAATTGTATTGTTGAAAACAAGTTCACTTGTTAAATGAATCTGCCCAGGTCATTATAATGCGTGACTTGATTCCGTTTCGACCAGCAAGATTTATGACATTTTCTAAAGCAATGCAAAGTCTTTAAGTAGCCGGCTGTCCATCGATCTTGATATTCCCATCACGTTTCTGAATTTGGTGCAATTCATTGGGTGTAGGAGTCCGCTCTTCCTCCGCAGACCATCTTTCCTCGCTTTTTCGGGACCGTCTATGTCCGTGATAGACTGTCGGAGTGGTCACACCTCTTTCAACATTTTGATGGATTTGTGGGCTACATAAATTTACAGGCTTTATTGCATCATATTTGGAAATCTGCCGTTGCTGAAAGTATAATAAATTGGTAAATTTACCAATTGTTTACCTGGTTTAGCAACAGACTGACTGTCCTTACTACGCGATTTCAAATAGGGAGATACTCACATTCTATGGTCACTTTGGAAACTACTTGCTCTTTCAGAGAATAGCCCACTTAACTTATTTGTTAATTTGCAGAGGACAAGTGGACGCTTTAGATTAGACTCTCGCCTGCACTACAAAGCGTAGTTATAAGGTTAAATATATAGGCTTTGTTAGAAAAGAAGTACTGATAAGTTTCAGCAATTAGAAAAAAGTAATTGATAAGTTTGTGAATTGTCTCTTTTTGCGATTTGGAATTAATGTTAGAAAAGGTGTAACTTTTATATGTTTAATATTCGGTTTATTAGGGCTAATCACTGGTGGTTAAATAATTATACATTTAAGACAAAAGAAAAAACTGATAAAATCTTCTAAACTAATGAAAATCAGCGGTTGAGATATTAGTCCTGCAGCCATTGGTCCACGAGCTTGATCAGCTTTTTCTTGGAGGCCACCAGTTCGGCACTATCGGTGTCGCTGATCGATCCGGTATCAGGACAATGGGAGGCGTAGGGGATAATGGTGGCTCCCTGGGCCACTCCAGCACCAACCTTGCTCCAGCCATCAAGAGCTCCCTGCACAAAGTAGATATTGGTGGCATTCACGTTCAGACCACCGAAGTCATCGTTGGTTGCGCGGACATTGGCGTGGATGCCAGCCGAGTCGTACTTCGATCCAAAGACACCCTCACAGGTGTCCTCATAGAGAGTGGCCGGAAAAGTAGATCCAAAGGGTTGGCTTCTGCTGCCGGAAGACTGGAACCAACCGAACTCGCTGCAGGTCTGGAAGATCCAGGGCAAGTCACCTAAAAGAGTTAAAAAGTTAGGTTATTACAAAGTTATACGATGCTGAAACTAGAAATCACGTACTATCTTCGTAGTTCTCCTTGGACCATTCGTAGTAGCCAACTGCTCCCTTGAAGGTCGTGCTAAGACAAGCTCCGGAATGCTCATTGATTTTCCAATTAATGAACTTGGACAAAGCAACAGAATCGTCATCACTGAACTCGCGCAGAATCGAGCAGTACTTGGGAATATCATATTTCTCCGGTCTATGGGTAAATAATGAATTGTTGGTAATGAATTGTTGGCTGTTTCATATCACCTACTTTTGGTACTGCGCAATGCCAGCAAAAAGGTTCGCTATAGTGCTGAAGATCTGCCAACGGTCCTGTTCGCTGTTTACGTTAAAGTTGGAGCACAGGTTCAATTCCTTCGCAGCCTGAGTGCCGTTTCCAATCTCGAAAAGATTCTCATAGTAAGAGGTGGCGTTATCGATCAGATCGTAGCAATATTGTCCTCCAAGGATAGAGTACGACTCGCCGACCACCTTCATGTAATCCTTGAAGTTCACCTTAGCCAGGAGCGGAGCAGACGAGGCCCAGCTGCCCCTGATGACATCGGGATACAGCTTCCTGATCCAGGTGGCCATGGTGGCGGAGTAGGAGCAGCCAGAGACCACAACCTTGGAGTCCTTGTACTTGTCCTCCTGCTTCAGCGTGGCAAGCACGTTAATCACATCAGCCAGGGCCTGCTCCACGCTCTGGTACTTTTCCAGGTTCTCAGTGGACAGAGGACTAAGGGTGACCAGTTTTATTACTTTAGTTCAAAGGAACTTGGAACTTGGTAATGGTGTCTTAACTCACGTTATGGGAATACTCTGGCCAAAGAAACGATGTTCGGTGTAGAGGAGGGAACCGTTGTGCTGCTTAGCAATGTCCTTCCAGAGTCCAGAGGTAATCCCACTGGGATCGATAGCCCACTCGCCTCCCAAGTAGATAAAGATGGGAGAGCCATCCACAAAGTATTTGTTGTTGATGTAGATTCGCTGCGGAATAAAGAGACGTCAGTAAAGCTGACAGTACTTTATTTCCAGCTAGTCCTTACATTCTGCCAGGTGGCGTTGTTGCTAGCATCGAAGTTGTCTAATTTCTGGGTGATCCAGCGCTCCTCCACCTTGGCCCTGGTCGTCATTGGTTGAACAGGTGGACCTCGATGAAGTTGTCTCAGGGATTTGACGAAGGCATTGGCCTCCGGTTTCTGTTCACCTAGACTAGCTGCTGCAGTCAGTGGTGCAAGTAGGGCGAGTACTACTAGGGTATACTTCATATTGCTGGATAGTTCACAAGTTTGCGAATGATTTTCCTCCATCGGTGGCCGACTATTTATTGGAAAATATTCGCTACTGACAGTCCCATTAACCTAAGATAGGGCCTTTGGGCTCTGGATTGCAAAGCAAACAAAAATTGCAAAATATATAACACTGATAAGGTCGAGGGTTCTTTGTTCCTATCAAGTCTTGCATCACGTAAATTGAGCTAGGTTCATTTTAATGTCTTTCGTCTTCGCGAAGACAAAGAAAAATGTTCAACGGATTAGTCCCCAATTTATATAATTTGGTTCAAATGTTAAAGTGAAGGACTTTTTTATATGAATCTTTATATCTTATCTTAATGCAAACACCTATTATAATTATAAAAAGAAAGGTTCCCTACAAATTTAAAAAAAAAAGCGCTGATAAGTAGTGGATTAGTTTTATAATGTAACGGATACCATTTGACTATTTCCTTCGCGAATTATCCTAAATACCCATTTGTATATCTTAGACTAATACTTTCTTGGGAAATACTTTGGTTGTAAAATTTAAATACAACTCCAATTAAAAAGATAAGCCATGTACAAATATTAGCGGTTATATAGCAGTCGCTCGAAAAATGGTTAATTACACGATATGAAATAATATCTCTACCTTTCTATTTGCAACTACTTTCTTAATTGTTTAAAACTGTAATTTGTTGAATAGTTTACTTGTACACGTGCCTTGCAATCTTGCACTCTTGCCAATTTAATCCTATATAAGCAAACGTGACAATTTATTGGCCATTGTTTTGTTACCAAATATTTATTTTTTACGTGCTAGTCAGTAAGCTGAGGTCTTAACATGATGTAAGAAAATGGTATCAATTTCATTC